TGGAAAAAAAGCCTCTTGGACAATAAAAGCCAGCATTGTTTTTCTTTAATTTAGCATTGCATGAAAATGGCATAGACGTTTTGAATTCTGACTCTATCAACTTGAAATTTGGTATACAGTCTTGTTGGACTGAAATTGACAATTCTATTAGAAAGCTGCAAGTTGATTAAACATGGCTGCCATCAATCAATCAAACCTAACAAAGAAAGAGGCTTGACAAGAAATTGGCCATAACTCAAGTTGTCATAGAGGAATTATGATTAAACTCTGTGAGGACATCCAGCACTTTTATCACTGAACCTACACCCCAATACCCCAAATGCTTATTATGGAGAAACATATTTATAAACAGCACTGGAGTAGATGTTTTCATCAATGAGCTCCCCAATGCGTCTTCTATATGGTAGACAAGATAAGATGTTGTTTATTACTACTTTGTTGAATTGAGAATTAGTTTTCCGCATACACTGCGATGATGAAACAAGTGTGTGATTGGTCTCACTCCTCTAACCAGAATTAGAATAGCTGATGTGACTTTGTGGAGCCTGAAATCCTCATGTTTCTGCTCCAGGCTTTATTTTTGGCCGATTTAGTTGCTTCCTTCTGTTAGTTCAGAAGTTGCTGTGTCTTCTTTATTGTTGCACTTCGCCACAAAACACTGTGTATGTTGTTTATAGTCAAACACTGTAGAGAATAACAACATCCTTGTATGTGTTTATTTGGTCTATTAGGTTCATTTATTGAACTTGCTGTTATTGGCTGTTTGCTAATGAGTACAGTACATCTTTACCAGCTTATTGTGGCTAATTGTTTCCTCAGCTCTCACCACAGTTGCCACAGGCTCTTTTTACCAATCGGTGCTCCAGATTCCATGGGTCACCCCCGCACAATGAAACATATATTTACATACATAATTTTTCCTTATTTGCATTAGTGCTGACAGGACAATATCTCATGTCTGTGCCTTTAAACCATAGCAGAAATAGAAGCATTTGCTGCCACTATGGTTTGGTTAGGTTTAGGGACAAAACTACAGGGTTATGGTCGCTGACTGATTGTTGGTTTGGGTTAAAATGGCAGCTTCGTTAAGGTTTTGGAATGTTTGTTGTCATGGTTATAAGAACTACTTTGTAGGTTAGGGAGAAATTGTGGTCCTGGTTAAAAGAGGCCGACTGTCTGTAGAAAATGGCATAACAGTAATTTCTGGTGTCCTACGAATTGTTGACCCATCTAACCGCCACATAGCTCCCACTGCTGCTCTTTGTCACTAATGCTTTTGTTTTTATTGGGAGGAATAAGCCAAAGAGACAGTTGCATTATAACTAACTTAATTGCTTATAAAATGTTGTTTGAAACTTATTTTCAGTGAGTTCATAGTGTCAACTATATTAAGTTCAGCATACCACTGAAACTAGAGACATTCTAAATATCCATAATAACATTAATAAATCAAGAATAAGATACACGTATTTTGGCTACAAAGTGCTTATTGCGAGTTTCAATCATTTAGGCTGAACAACAGCTGGGCTGGTGAGTATAGAGAAAGAGAACCTTTATCATTGACTGACTTGACTGAGCCAGTGACAGATCATTGGTCAGCTGAACTCAATGTGATTGACTGAAGCTACACTGATCAGCCTGATGAGTGTTTGGAGTCATCAGGGTGGTGTTCACATGCAGATGTTACCTTGTCATTTTATTTCACTTTGTTTCAGTCACTGTTTCATAATTGACAAGAGGTTCAAGCACAGACAGTATGATAGACGCGAATGACTAAAATTGGCTGACACCAGGCAAGATTCCAATTCAATGCAATGGCGTCATCAATATGTTTATTGGCTTATTTGCCAACTAGCAACACTAAGCTTACAAGCAGGATTTAGCTTTAATTGTTTAAGGTGGTTCCACAGCAGTTTTCTTTTACAGGCCATCCATAATACGGCACACTGACCATGCCACATTAAATTTTTTTAACCCAGCCTTGTTCCTTAATCAGGTTTCCTTATAATTATAGTTAGAGCACAATCATCATTAATTTGCCTGACAGATGCCTCTAGTGGAGTGAGAAGAGAGGGGTATTTCAGTTAATGTGGCTGTCCTCACAGATTTAAACTAGCTAGAAAATTATTGGTATAATGCCATATACTACAACAGCAACACCAGCTACATCGTCCAAAATGATCATACATATTCATATGTGTGATCGGATTCATATGTCTTTTGCTAATTAGTTAATGATTCATTGGAGCCTTATTGCACTCCTGTGTTCAGATAAGGGGGCGGACAATTGGAAATCATGTTTAGGCATAGAAATTGTAAGATTAGGGGGTGAGTATCAGCACTACATTTAGAGTATGAATGGTTTCAGAACAGACATTTCCATCAAAGCCCAAAAAAACCCATAAGTTTCATGTTATTATACACTAATGCAGAGATATGCCAGGTTTTATTCTTTATTTTGTATCAGCAGGTGAAGGAACAGCAGTTGTGGTATAATTGTTGCTCTGTTAGTTGTAAAGAAGCTCTCTCTCTCTCTCTTACACACACACACACACACACACACACACTCACACACACACACAAGCACACGGCTGCTAATCACAGCTTGGTACAGGTAGTGAGGCATTGGGACTACTGGTGATTGAGCCTCCCTGGTGGATTGGAAGCAGGAATCTGACAGACTCAGATAAAAGGCTGTTTGGAGTTGCCTGCAGCATCAAACAGCATCAGCCCTCCCCTCCCACACTCCCATCTCTTCCCCCACCATCACCTCCACTCTCTTCATTTCTCCCTCTTTTGGTTTACTCAGTTGCCATGGCTACGCCCAGCCAGAGCCGTCACATTGAGGAGGAACCTGTCAGGGTGCCGCTCTCAGATCACCTGATGCAGGTCGCCTCCACTGGCGGCCTCTTTCACACAGCGTCATCGTTCAATTTGGCTTTGATTAAGTCTGTGCTCCGTGGCGTGGCGCAGCTGAGAAGTGAAGTCTGTGTATTTCCTCGTCAAACATTGAGCATGTGCAATTTTGCCGACCTGGTTTTTTGGAGAGGACCCCTTCTGAACAGTCATAGAAAAAAAACCCACCTCTCCTTCCTATCCAATTTCCACGTCTCTGAAGAGCCTTCTAGCCAAAGCAGTGTGATTTGAATAGAGGATGGGATGAAATTACCTGTTAGGAGTCATGCTGAGGGGATGGGTGCATGTGGAGGGGGCTTTTCTACATGAATGAGAGTAGTAGCGAGATACCAGACTGATCTGAAACCCACTTAAAGCTGAATTCCCCCTGTAAACATTTTGCCAGAAACCCATTACCTGCTGTTGTTGATGCTGTGCTTTTCATATTAAGCTGCAACAACAAAGAGCCATCACCTCTTTCAGCTGGCTGTCCGGTTCTCAGCCATGCGGCTCTGTATGCTGCCGAAATAAGGAGTGGTGGGGGGGTACATATGCTGACTGTATAGATTGTGCTGAAGGGTGAAATGTAAGCTGGCCCCCTACTGAACACAGATTTGCATCTCCTGCTGTTTTTTTCTGTCTGATATTTGCCCATCTTTCAGTGTGAATGAATGAATGACTGAATGAAAGAACGATAGGAGGGGGGGAAGGATGGAAGTTGTGTAAGGTGATGAGAGGATGGATGTGGTGAGAGGGAGAGAATGAGCAATGTCGTGATCAAGAGATGCTGGGACTCAGAGAGGGAGATGAATGGGGCTGAGAGCAGGAAAATTGGACAGGAGGCGGGGGGTGAATGAAGATAGAGAATGGCTCGAGATATCGGGAGACAGAGATTGTGAGCTATGTGCAGGTAATAAACAAGGCAGAAATAGATAGATATCTCAAGGGAGGAAAAAGAAAAAGTGAGCGATTGTGTGCATGGGGTGGAAGTTGTGGGCTGCTGGGGGGGGGTGCTGGGTTTGTCCCAAAAGAGCAAAAAAAACAAAAAGTAAAAGGGTAAAACGGAGGAAAAGAAAGTGAGGTTGAGAAAGCAAAGGGAGGAAGGCTGGAGAGAGTGTGAATAATGACACAAACAGGAAAGATTTGGATGAACATGCTGTACTTAAACTAACTTGGCCAGCTGAGATGATGTGTATCCCTGCTAAGCTCTCCTTTAGGCAGGCTTAGATCTCATCAACTCACTCCAGGTTGGCACTAGCTTCAAATGCTGCTGCAGAGCCTTGGATTAACTATACAGCCGTCACTCAGACACTTAAACAGGGGTCTGGAGAGGCTTATCCTAGCCCCCCACCCACCCCCCCCTTACCAACACCCATTCTACGTTCGCCCACAACTGCCACATCCGCCCGCCCGCCCCCCCCCTTCAAAGCTACTCGAAGGAAGACTTCATCATAACGCCACCATTGCCTACAGTTATGTTGATTGTGCCATGATTTTTAAAAGAGGTTAAATGAGCATGTCCCTCCCTCCCTGCCTCCCCCTGTTTACTCTCCCTCTATCTTATTCCAGGCCTGTGTATGAGTGTTTCTTTTTTCATTCTGGTGCTCTTCCAGAGCTTCTCCTGCCAAATCAGCCCCCCCCTCACTCCAACCCTCCCTCCCTGTGTCTGGCTGGATCTCAGGCTCTCATATTTGGAGGCCCTGCAATCGATACAGGCTGTCTGTGATTGGGTTGCCTCGCGTGATTCATTTCTGTAACCTTGGTGATGGTTTGATGTGGAGGCTGCACCCATGTCCATATTATGACTCAGTGAGCGCGTGTGGAGAGGAGAGGTTGGTCAGGGGAGGTATCGATTGGATCCTTTACTCTCCCTGTCCTCTTTGCTCTCCCCTCCATCTCCCTCTCTTTCTTTATCCATCTTTTTCTCACTTGCCATGCAGCCCTGATAGTTTTGCCATAATTTGAAATGACTTTGTGTTCTCAAGAAATGATTATTTAACCCTAAATGTTCCCTTGGGTGTTAATGTTAATCTCTT